GCAACGAAACGCCAAGTGTTGCCTCTGTGGAGAAGGCCACCCCGCCAACTACAAGGGATGTAGTAAGGCCCCAAAAAAGCTGCTTCTGCCCCCAAAGCAGTCCCCACCACAAATAGGACTTCTTACGCTCAAAAAGTGAAGAAACCTATGTCCACTTCTGCCCCAGCAGCCGCCACTGCTACTGGAACTACTGCGCAGAAGCAACACGGCGATAACAGACTGCTAGCAATGATGCAAGCCATCATAACCCGCCTGGATGCACTCGAGGCCAAGATGCAAGACAAGCACTAGACCCGAAATGTCTACAGGTCAAAACGTAGAATCTCTACGCATTATCTCTTGGAACATCAACGGATTCAGGGCACGGAAACCAGAAATCCAGGAGATACTAGACCAGTACCAACCAGAGGTGATGGCCATCCAAGAAACGAAGTTGGATGCTGCCCATAGTCTGACGTTCCCGCGGTACGAGACGTACCGCTACGACAGAAGGGGCAGAGGTGGAGGAGTCGCATTACTCGTCAAACGTACCTTGACGAGTCATGTCCTCGACGATGCCGCAGACATAAATGGGGACGGAATCACGGTCCAGGTCCATCACAACCACCGTCCCTACAGAATCACCTCCCTATATGTACCACCAGGGGAGGCCCTAGACGAAGATGACATCGCTGACCTCCTGAGAAGCCCAGGAGCACGCATAGTCATCGGAGATCTAAACTGCAAGTCTCCGGCATGGAACAACAACGTCGAAGACAGGAATGCAAGGCAGCTCCAGGAACACGTCGATGCCCTGGCGGGGGTCATCGTCGGTCCGGAGCAACCAACCTACATTCCATTCGGCCTTGGGCGACCTGCGGTACTGGACATAGCCATCCTCCGCAACATCAGAGAGGAGTTCGAGATAGAGACTCTGGTGGAAGGATCGTCGGACCACAATCCGATTCTACTAACACTTGGCACAGGGTCTAGAACTCGAGATAGCTTGAGCACCAAACGGACGAACTGGAACCTGTACAAATCCAACGTCCAAAGGAACATCACTCAAATTCCAACCATCCGATCAGCGGAGGAACTGGACAACGCAGTAGAGGAGCTGGAGAATGCTGTCCTGCGAGCGCACGAGGACAGCACCCGCTCCGAGACTACGGCAGTTCCTAGACACCTAAATGGTCCAGCACCGCACCATATTAGGCACCTGATCAGGGAGAACAGAAGACTCAAGCGAGAACATCTCCAGCTGTTGACGGAGGAGTCGAGAGTTGCGCGAAACAGAGCATCGTTAGCTCTGAAGAACGCACTCGCGGAACTCCAAAACAGCAGATGGAATGCAGCCTGTGCAGAACTGGAGACCCAGGATGGTACGGCCTGGTCTATGCAGCGAAAATTTCGTCGTCAGCGCACCACGATCCCCACTCTTCACGGCCAACGTGGCTTGGCCTACTCCAGTGAAGAAAAAGCCGAAGCATTCGCCGATTCGCTAGAATCCGAATGCAGACTCAACTACCATGAAGACGAGGACGACAACCACGAGGAGGCCGTGGAAGTCGCAGCCGAAAACATGAGGAGTCGACCACCTGGCCAGGAGACGGATCACCCCTCCAGTCCAGAGGAAATCCGTCTGATCATCCGCAGGTTGAAGGTCAGAAAGGCGCCGGGAAGGGACGGCATCAACAACAGGATGCTGAAGAACCTTCCCACCAAAGGCATTGCTGCGCTCACCAACATCGCCAATGCCACCCTGAGACTTAACCACTTCCCGCGGCGGTGGCGGGAAGCCCAGGTTATAATGCTCACCAAGCCAGGCAAGGACCGGAAGTTGCCCCAGAACTACCGGCCCATCAGCCTGGTTTCCTCGATGGGCAAAGTAGTCGAAAAGGCTATCGCCGTTCGACTAGAGAAGCAGGCAGAAGAACTGCAACTTCTCCCCCCAGAGCAATTCGGCTTCAGATCCTCCCACAACACGGAACTCCAAGCGCTACGGCTGACGGAAAACATCACCAGCGGCTTCAATCTCCAGGAGGCAACCGGTCTCGTCCTGCTGGACGTGGAAGGAGCCTTCGATCGAGTTTGGCACGATGGACTCATCGCCAAAATGGAAGCCGCCGGAATCGATGCGAGCATGTGCCAACTGATTCAGAGCTATCTAACACAAAGATGGTTCACGGTGAAGATTGGTACATGCCATTCAACAAGACGACAGCTGGAAGCAGGCGTGCCCCAGGGGTCAGCCTTAGCCCCCCTGCTCTACAACATCTATACACACGATGTGCCGAAGACAGCTGACACAATGCTGGCCCTATATGCAGACGATACTGCTATAGCCGCCAAGCATAGACGACCCGAGATCATCCGTAGGAGACTACAGGATGAACTGGACCACATACAGGACTGGTGCGTGAAATGGAAAATCCGCATCAACGTCCAGAAGTCACAGGCAATCTTCATTCAACGAAGAAGGATTGCAAGACCTCTCGAAGCATCCATCTTCGATGAAGATATCCAGTGGAGCGACAATGTCAAATATCTGGGGATCGTTTTTGACAAGTCCCTCACCTGGAAAGCGCACATAGAAGCTGTCATCGCAAAAACCAGAGCAGCCATGGCTCAACTCTATCCATTACTGGGTAGACACAGCCAGATGCCGCTAGCGACCAAGCTACGGCTGATCAAGGCCATCGCCAGACCTCAGCTCGCTTACGCCTCCGCGGTCTGGGGGTACGCTGCCCCCAGCTACCGCAAGCGACTAGCTGCTCTAGAGATGAAGCTGCTCCGGATCGCCACCAATGCACCTTCCTACGTAAAGAACTCAACCTTGCGTAGAGACCTGCATTGGGATACCATCCACGAGTACATGAGGAAAAAAGCGGAGAAGACCTTCGAGAAAGCTCAGGACCACCCGAACGAGCAGCTACGATTCCTCATGGACTACGATCCGGACGAGAGGCCTCGCAACCGCAGAACCAGGTACCCCAGACCAAGGTCCCAGTTGGCACCCGCTAACTGGAACCTTGACTAGGAGACTAGGAGAACTTGCGGCTGCTCCCCCCCCCCACCCCACGGCGTGGATACAGAGGACCAGGAACCACCGGGACCAGGACCAACCAGGACCAGGACCCGCCACGACCAGGACCCACCAGGACCAGGACCCTTCAGGACCAGGACCAGGAACAACATATTGGTAAGAGGACTTGAAACTCTTGATTTTTCGGAAACAAGAGTTTCAAGAGAAACTAGCAGACCCTCTATCGATGATCGCTTAACGACATCGATAGAATGTGCGAAGTAAAGGGAACCAACCCGGCGTTCCCAGAGACTGAAACACATGAGGAGACGTTGTAGCAGACCGCAGGTCACGCACAACACATGGCCTACCGAGACGCTGATGAGTCGGGCCACGCGGAGGTTTAGGGTTTAGTGGGTATTAGGTGATCTCCTCAAGACCCTGGAGCCCCACACACGTCGTAGCTCGTGCTATGGTATGGTGCGTAAATGCATTCCCCCCTCGTTAAAAAAAAAAAAAAAAAAAAAAAATCAACGGAGATCGCTACAAAGACATGTTGCAACGTTATATTTTTCGTCATTTGGATGGGCTAGACATTAATGACATGTGGTTTTAACAAGACGGTGCCACAAGCCACACAGAGGGTGAAACAATCGACATATTGAAATCAAAATTTGGTGAACGTGTTATTTCGAGAAATGGCGCTGTCGAATGGCCGCCTGGATTATGTGATTTAACACCTCTAGACTTTTTTTGGTGGGGCTATATTAAATCGTTGGTCTATACCAGAGTTCCCCAAACTTTTTTGTGTCGTAGACCCCTTGCTATGTTTTTCCGTGTTGGGTAGACCCCTACTTATCTGATATTGATTTCCTGTAACTTTCTAACTGTAGTGAAGTTTAGTGTTAAAAACTTAAAGTAAAAACACATGTTAATTTATACATTTATTAATTGAATTTAAATTGAAACTACTCAAAATAAAATTTTGTATCTGTTATGTAAAATATACGTAACATTGAATAAACAGGTGTCTGACCAATAAATGCCCGCATTGAAAAAAAATAAGAGGGATAAATTAAAAACAGTGAAAAATAATAAAAAAAAAGTGTTTTACTTAAAATAGTACAATAAGCGAGTTCGTTTATTAATTATAACATAAACGTGTGTTCTACAATAATTTCACTGTTAGTTTGATTAGATTCCGCTTCTTATACGTTTAAGTTATCTAAAAATAGGCAAAAAATTAACGAATTTTAGTGTCTTCTGTCCTTGAATTTTCAGAATAATTTAAAAAAAAATATTTTCTATAAAAGGGGGTTCTTGAAAAAAATCAATACGGGCACTTATTCCCAATGCGGGCATTTATTGGTCAGACACCAATAAACATAAAATAAACTATAAATAAAATAACATAAGCAATAAGTCAATATTTTTAGTGAGAAAGATGAACCTGATGCTTTAGTAATAAATTATCAACATTTGGCGTCAATTTTGTAAGTGCTACGGAAAAATAGTGCAGCGTATCCTGGGACGGCACTGGGAGAAGATTAGACGCTGAATCATAGGTACACACAGAAGTGGTACCGGACAAAAACATGTAGATATATGGGGCAGAAAAAAATCGAGCGTTGTTGTGCAGCGGATCGTTTTCATTTTTACATTCGTAATAAAATAGAACGGAATAAATTGAACGTTGTTACGGAGCGGGTCGTTTCCTTTAAAAACTCCTGAACATCGTCGAATTTGGGAGACTTAATATAAGGGTTAATCTTAAATCTCCTCGGCTAATGATGTCCAGTCTGTTTCTTTTTTTCGTTACGAGATTGGTAACAGCACTGAACCTCCTTTCCACTAAGTATGACGATGGAAAGGAAATTAAAAATTTCCTCGCTATATTCCAGAATTGCTAATATCCGTTTTTAAACTGTACCTTAAGTTCTTCGTTTGTACTTAGTTCAGTCAGTTCCTCTTTTATTATGACATTCATTTCTTCTATGTCACCATATGGATTAATTATCCACGGTGGTATTACCATAGTCAAAATATCCTCAAACCTAGATTCAAAATCTAAATAGAGGACATTTAAATGTTGAACGTAAGTTGAAACGTCGTCTTCCTGGCAGCTTGTCTGTGACAAATTGGGGAACTGAGAAACTTCGCCCCGTCCAATATTTTGCTTCATTAGTTTAACTCTGGCAAGAAACGCTGATAAGATGGACTTTGTTTTAATCAAATTTAAACTGTCGCATTGTAATTGCAAATTAACCATATTAGATTTTGTGAACAAATCTGTTAAATGGCGATGTCTGTTTTCCTCTTCATTAAATTTTCGTTTAAAAATGTATCTTTAGTATCCAGAAATTCTAAAATAGTCTCAAAAAGTGCAAAAAATCTTGTCAAACATAAGCCTTTCGACAGCCAGCGAACTTCAGTGTGAAGGAGTAATTGATGAAAGTGTTCGTCATTTTCTTCACACAACTGCGCAAATAACCGCGTATTCAACGCGTTGCTTCGGATTCGGTTTACTGCATCAATGACTAAATGAAGTGATTCATGCAATCTAACACTCAAATTTTTAGCAACTAAATGTTGTCGATGGATGACGCAATGTATTGCTAACTCCCCTGACACATTTTGTTTTAAATAGCTTATAAATCCACGATAACGTCCAACCATGACAGGTGCTCCATCTGTAGCTACTGATATTATATTTGATAAAGGAATTGCTTTTTTAATCAAGTAATCCTTCAAAACATGAAATATTGATTCACCTTTAGTGTCGGTTATCAAAGTTCTTGCGAAGAGCAGTTCTTCGTAGATTTCTTGATTCATAATAAAACGAACATATGCCAATAATAATCCTGCATTATGAGGTAAAGTTTACTCGTCCAGTTGTATAGAGAAATGGGTCATTTGCAAATAATTACATAAGAAGCTTTCAATATCAGAACTCATTTCATCAATAGGTCTTTCAACAGTATTGTTGCTTTTAATGACATCAGATGCAGGCTTGTGTAAAACAGTTTTTAAAACCTCTTCAATGGCTGGCAAAATTAACTTCTCTCCGATATTATGCGGTTTTCCGGATTTTACTATAAGTAACGAAATATTGTAAGACGCCCGCAAACCATCATCATTTCTTTGTGACGTCGAAGCGAACATTCTGTCCAGTGTAGGTCTCTTCTGAAATGTATCTTTGAGTGTTTGAAAGTATTTCAAATCTTTCTCTGTTTTATCAGGGTGGCATCTTCTCAGATGATCTTGCAGTTTAGATGGGTTCATAGCGTCACTGCCCAAAACTTTGTTGCATAAAAGGCACATAGGCGATTGTTTGTCCGGCAATGATGGAATGAAGCCAAATTTCAAATAATCAACACTGTACTGTCTACGTTTCTTTTTAGATTCGGACATGGCATCAGTCATCTGTGGCAAAATTAAATTATTTAAATAAGACAGAAAATCCAGCACCTGTATATTAAAAATATTTTTGATTTTTACGAAAACATTCCATAATTCGAACATCTTCTTGCAACAATTAGCTCGAATTACGGAGATTGCACTGTAATTATATTACCGATTGCTAAAACTTTCAAAAAGAAACTATTGAGGAGTACTCGTGTAATTTTGGATGATTGAATATTTAACTACTAATAACTAAAGTCATGATTGGCGTAATTTATCTATCTTTGCTAACTACGAGTACAAAACTAAAATTTAATAATAAATAATGTACTTACTTTTCTCTAGCACTCTCAAACTAAATAACACTGACTCACTATAAATTTGTCTGATATACTATCTGTTTATATTTTTTAAAATATTTTCTTAGCACTTTCCTTTTCAAGATTCAGGAAACGAGTAAACGTATTTGTCCCACATTCGTATTTATAGAGTGACGAATTGAACAAGTCAGTGCAAGGTAGCGAAACTCTGAGACTGCGACTCTCAGGTTTTTACAAGTTCAAAATGTATTGCGACCACAAAGCGAATATCAACATCCTACAACTTACACAATTTTATAAACATATACAGGGTGACTTTGAAGTTGAGTCATTAATTTTCAGATAATGATTGTAGAAGGAAGATAAACCAAAATATGTGTGTAAAACTAAAAAAATAAATAAAAAAAAATTTTACCTTGTTTAATAAAGTATCGTCCCGACTAGTATTTCAGTGCGGACCTGTATTTGATCGTGTGGTCTTGGAGCAGCATGCCCTGACCTCTGAGGTCTTAAGTCACCTGATTCACGAGCCCTTTGTACTACATTAACAAAGGCACGAGGGGTTGGTTGCACTCGATTGGGAAACCGATTCGCATAAATCCGTGATGCATCCGGGAGCATTTTGTAAATACTGCCCCCCCGTAAATAAGAATCATGTCCACAAGTTCAGCATTTTCGTAAACATGTGCCATTTTTGATTTCGTTTGAGCCACGCAACAAACACACATACAAACACAAACACAAACACTAACGCGACTGACGAAAAACATCGTGATAAACGTTTCAAATTCTTTCGCTTTTTTGTTTCCGATGCGAAGAACAGGTCAGGCGGATTATATCCGTTGTCGCCAAACACGAACATATTATTATTGAGACAGGGCGGTACTCAAACCTCCAAAGGGCTATAACTTTGTTACTTTAATTTTACCAGAAAAATGGTAAAGGAAAAAAACATTTCTTTTGATCAGATCTACTCACTGTTAAAATAAATGACTCAACTTCGAAGTCACCCTGTATAATAAATTTTTTACTTCATGGGTACTTTTATAAATAATGTATATGTTTTGATATTATAAGATAGTATGATGTAAGTAAATAGGTACTATCAGTGTTATGTGTTGAGATCCACTATCGTGGACCCCCATATTCATTTCATGGACCCGCAAATTTTTTTTCGCTGACGTAGAGCCCTTGCAGGTTGTCATAGACCCCTAGGGGTCGATATAGACCACTTTGGGAATCAATGGTCTATTCCAACAAGCCGACGTCGCTAGAGGAGCTCAGAGCCAATATTGAACGAGAGATAGCGACTGTTTCTGTCGAATAGTGTGGCCGAGTCATTGAAAATTGGGTTCAACGAATCTATCGCTGCGAACGTGCCCGTGGTGGACATATGAACGAAGTCGAATTCCATATACAAATGTTTTGAGTATGATTCAATCAATTTTCGAGATATCTCAAATGGTTTGCGAAAGTTGTCAAGTCCTTAATGGAAAACCCTACATGATCGGGCTCCACCACATTTTAGACGAGAAGTTCATGAACATCTAATTATCTGCTGAGTTTCCGAATATATGGATAGGGCGCAATAGACTCATTTCTTAGCCTGCTTGCTCCCCGGATTTAACGCCTTACGATTTTTTCTGTGGGGCTATTTGAAAGAGTTGGTGTATCATGATGGAGCAGTAAATACCCTGGAAAAACTTCAACACCGCACTGGAGATGCTTGTGATTTAATTTGTGGACACCAGAATTTTAATTTCGAAGCTTGTAAAGAATCCTGGATTCGTCGAACAAGATTTTGCGTTATTCGAACAAATATGGACCATTTTCAACAGTTTTTGTAAAAATTTAACTTAATAATGATTTGTTTAAATAATTTTTAATGATGTAAACTAAGTGTCTTATTATGCAACTTGATTTTTGGTACATCAACTTCTTTTGACGAGTTCTACAAGATGTTAAAATGAATGACCCAGCTTTGGAATACCCGCTACAAATAGTGTAAAGAAAAAGCTAAAACGATTTTGGGAAATTTATGTTTTTTCTGACTCCCGAAATACTTTGGATTTCGAAACTTTCTAAGCGACACTTTTTTAGTTACCAAAATACACAACTTTGCCTACATTTAAGCGACTTCGTGTCGTAGAGTTCGAATATCCTAAGGTTACGCCTGCTACGTCATAACTTTGTACCCTATCCCTTGCATCTATTGTACCCTATAAGAATATAGGAAATTATTGTGACAGTCTCAAGGGTGATTTATAGACATCTGTTAACGTCCTCTTAATGTCGTCCAGTTCTAAGCGCGGCGCATATTTAAGAAGTAGAGAGCTTAAAAATTTATGTGGTCTTCAATGTCCAGAAATTCTGTTACTGCTGACGCTGATAAGGGACTTCCCACTCCCTCTTAATCATAGGCAGAACATTTTTTAGTATTAAGTATAAGCTAGATGCATTACTGGAAAGAAACGGTCATAAAGTTTTACGGTTGCCTCCGTATCATCCGTAACTCAACCCAATCGAGAAAATTTGGGCTCTCGTAAAAAATTGGGTCGCTCCACGAAATGTGACATTTAGGGCCGATTTCACCAACATTATTATTATGGACCAATAGGAAAATACCTTATCGAAATGCAATTTGACGGAAGCTGTCAAAGGCCTCAGAATATCAGTGATTTCTATTAAAATGTTGAATAAAATCGTGAAAATTCGACCGTATTATAAACAAGACCACTTTTTGATTCCAACATGATGCTTTTGTACAGAGAAAACAGGATAACTTTCATGTATTTTGATTTATGTAAAGAATCAACGTTGGCGGATTTTGGTTCTTGACATCCTTTACGATCGGTTACGATGCCTAGAGTACGGAGACCTGTACGATTCCGTCAACTTAGTGAGTTTGATAGGGGCCGTATAGTGGGACTTCGGGAAGCTGGACTTTCTTTTCGGCAATTGCAGTTAGAGTGCAAAGAAGTGTAGACACTGTGGTTAGGTGTTGTCAGGCATGGCTTCGAGAAGGCCGTACGCAAAGAGCAAGGGGCACTGGACGCCGCCGTAGAACAACAGACCGTGAAGATCGCCGCCTAAGATTATTGGCCTTAAGGGACCGTTTCTCCACTACCAGGTCCATTGCAAATGAATGGTTTGCAGAACACGGAAGACCTATTGGCATGCGAAGTGTTTACCGACGAATGAGAAGTTTTGGCTTGTTTTCATACCTGCCACACTGGGTCCTCCCTTTAACTCGAGAACACCGACGTAATCGCCTTGAGTGGTGCAGACAACGGTCACTCTGGGATCAGGAATGGAACAGTATTGTCTTCAGTGACGAGTCTCGATTTTGTTTAGGCATGCACGATGGTCGTGCCAGGGTTAGAAGGCGACGTGGTGAAAGGAGGAATCCACAGTTTTTTGTTGAAAGACATGTTCATCACACTGTTGGAGTTATGGTTTGGGGTGCTATAGCTTATGGTTCCAGGTCACCTTTAATCTTCATCAGAGGTAACATGAACGCGCAGCGTTATATCCACGAAGTTCTAGAACCCCATCTTTTACCCTATCTTGACACCCTGGCAGATCCAACTTTCCAACAAGATAATGCCC